GGTGACTAGACAGACATCACAACCCCACTCATCCACAGCCTTCTGCGGCATCTTCATCCCAGCAGCAGCCCAATCAAAACTCGGTGTCGAAACATGCGTGTTCGCCGCTGTCTTCTGCGCTGGCTTCGGCGTCTCGCACGAAATACACTTGTCAGCGGTGGCTTTGTTGGTGACCAGACAGACATCACAACCCCACTCATCCACAGCCTTCTGCGGCATCTTCATCCCAGCAGCAGCCCAATCAAAACTAAGCGTAGCCTGATGCGTCTGCGTCTGGATAACCTCTGCCTTCTTGGTAAAGTCGTACACTTGCAACTCACTCACCGGGATAACCAACGCCTTCTTCGCTGCAGCAGACGTGGTATCAGCAACCGGCAACACCGTAAAGCTGTACGAAGAAAGACCCTTAACATCCGTGTCCGCAGCCAACTCCTTCACATCCTTCTCAGCAGTCTTGGAGAAGACCAAAGAAGAGATAGTGGCAGAAGACACGGTAGCAGAGGTCTTGGCACTCTCATCGCTCGAAGGCTTGAACGCGAACAAACTGGCACTGGTGTCAACGGATGAGTTTAACTCGTCCGAGACAGTAGTAGGCTGCTTGAAGCTGAATCCCGAAGAAGTAGCAGTAGTAACCAGGGCTGCCTCCTCCTCTTTAGCAGGCTTTGCAGCCGGCACCCCAAACGAGAATGAAGGAGCAGGGGGAGGCACGGCAGTCTTCGGCGCACCAAACGAGAAGCCAGCAATCGGCGCAGGCTCCTCCTTCTTTTCTTCCTCCTTCTTCGCAACAGCAGCAGGTGCACCAAACGAGAACGCCGCCGCAGGCTTCGCCGCACTCGCATCGAAACTAATCACAGGAGTCGCGGGCTTCTCCTTCACCTCCTCCGTCTTCTCCTCCTCCTTGTTATTGTCAACCTTCTCAACCGGATCCGGACTGGGCACCGAGAAGCCCTGACTCAATTTCGAGCTCCGCACAGGCTTGTACTTGTTGTACTCAAACTTCGACGGAGTCCCTACTGGCGTTCCCGTCGTCTTGCTCGGCGTAAACGAATGCAAATTGGGCGGCGCAGGCGATGCTGACTTCTCCTTCTTCTGCTCCGTCTCAGCGGGCTTAGGTGCCGTCCGCTCAATAACCTCAATTGCGCTTCTCTCCGCCTTTTTCGGAGTGTGAGACTTCGCCGCCTCCTCCGCCCTCTTTCTCTCTGTCTTCTTGGGCGTGGCACCGCCCTCCTTCGCGTACGGGTTCAAGAAAACCGATAGATCAGTAGGGGGGACATACGTATCATTCGACGCCGGCTCACGGGACTCTGCCTCGCCTAAGATGTCGAGGAGAGCCGAGGCGGTCTGGCTTCTCGGCTTCTTTGGAGGGAGGGCGACGAGGAGGAAGACGCCTCCGCCAACGGCTCAGCAAACCTCTACCCTACCCTCCCAATCTCCCAATCGCACCCCCGCCCCGCCTCCTCCACCTTCACATTCCGCCCCCCCTCCGAAGCCCCCTCCCACCCCTCCACCCCATCCCGCGGCTCTGCAGCTGCTGCTCCTTCCGACTCCCCTAACCAAATCCTTGCCGACTTTTTCGCGAGCCGTGGTGATAAGCCCATGTCCGCTGTCGAAATTGAGGGTGTGATGAGTTTAATGCAGAAGAATGCTGTGGATCCGGTTCCTGGGTTTGTGGGGACGCCAGTTAGGACCAGCTCGGTTCCGCCGATGGGATCGCCGGCCTATTACCCGTTGTTTACACCGGAACGGACATTTGCGCCTTCTACCTCGGGGACGACAGCGAGCGCGTCGAGAGTTTCGTCGGTGCGGAGGCCGAATTACTATGGTCCGACTGTGGCTTCGCCGTATAGGGGTCGTCAGCCTTTGGCGACTACGGTCACGGGGTCCAGATCTTCGCCGTCGCGTTCGCCTGTTGCGGCGGTGGAGAAGAAGGATAAGTATGAGCTCACTTCTGCGATTGCAGAGCCGGGAACGCCGGTGAAGGAGGATGAAGGGAAGAGGGGGTTGGAGGAGGTTGTTGCGCCGGCGGCGAAGAGGAGGAATTTCGGGGAGTCTCCTGAGGCTAAGCCTCTTGAGAAGGCCGCCACGCCCGATTCTGTCGCCGACACTACCACTCTCTTCTTGACCGGAGCCTTCCTCATCCTGGTCTTCCTCCATCTCAGACCCAGATCCCTCGGTCTCACCCTCATCATCCTCTTCCTCGTCGTTATCCTCGTGCTTCGACGGCGTCCCACGGAAAAGCGGGCTCAAGAACGACCTAGCGCGTTGAATAATACTACTCTTCGGAGTCTACCAGATACATTAGCACTTCATTCCAAGAAATCAATTGATGAAACCCACCTCTGGCGATGTCGAACGACGCTGTCTACGCGGTGTCTCTGCAGGCCTAGCATAAGGCGACGAATGACGGCGCCTCTCCGCCTTTCGGGATGAGGATAATCTGTCCATAACGATAGCTGATCCGTAAGATGGTACCGGGATAGGTGTCGAGATGTTGTTTGCTGGATGATTATGAGTTTTGGACGACGTTTGTATTCGCCGGTAATGGCACGCAGGGGATGCATCAACTCAGGTGACTGATATGCCCAGCCATCCAACAAGTAAACATTGCCAGTCATGAGCAATATTGGACGATGTAAGAGCTTGCAATCCAGAGATAATCTGCATGTACAAATATCAATCGCTCAACTGTAGTAATCCACGTTTGTTGGGGTCGGGGACCCGACCGCGCCCCGGACTTTCCTGAGGTAACCGCTCCATTGCGACCCTGAGAAAAACAGGTCTTCACGGATTGCTCAATCAACCAACCATGAAACCCTTCTTCCCTCCACCTCCTTCCGAATGGCGAGTCCTGGTTGAGCCTTACGTCCGCGCCATCAACCTCCCCGCCCTCGCTGCCCACTTCCACGTCCTCCTCGGCTCCGCCCTCTTTTACCAGACGATCTTCCTCCTCTCCCCATTCATCTCCAAGATCTTCGCGGCAAGATCATACGGCAAATTGAAGACAAGAGGAAAGATTAATTGGAATATCCATGTCGTGTCCCAGGTGCAATGTATCATCATCTGTATCTTTGCCGCGATCACGTTGATCTATGACGATGATTTGAAGAAGGATAAGTTGACTGCATACAGTCCCTTCGGGGCGGATGTCTATGCCATGGCTTGTGGATACTTTTTGGTATGTCGTCCAAACTCGTCCACGCTCGTCACAATATAGTGAGATCGCTGACATGATGACTTACAGTGGGATTCCTACGTCTCAATCCGCTACATCAACCTCTTCGGCCCCGGTTTCGCCGTCCACGGACTCGCCTCCCTCTTCGTCTTCCTCTTCTCCTTCCGCCCCTTCGCAATGTACTACGGCCCTGCCTTCCTCTTCTTCGAACTCTCGACGCCCTTCCTCAATATCCACTACTTCCTCGATAAATGCGACATGACCGGATCTTTCGCACAGATGATTAACGGCGTTATGCTCATGACGACTTTCTTTTCTGTTAGGATTGTGTGGGGGTGGTATGCTGCTTACCAGTATTTCGGTACGTTCAAAGCTGTTATTGATGCGGGAAGGACGTTCACTAACAGGATTGACGTACAGCCGACATCTTCTCGAGAATGGATGTTGTTCCGGGGTGGTTGGCGTACACTTACCTCGCTGCTAACGCGTCTTTGAACTTCTTGAACGTGTATTGGTTCAGCAAGATGATCGACGCTCTTCGTCGTAGGAGCAAGGGCGAGAAGAAGGCTCCTGTACAGGAGGCCGGTAACGTCGAGGGACACAAGATGGAATAGAAGGAACACGATGTCAATACCATAGGGTACAATAACACTAGAACACGGAGTACGGAGTATGCTTCTTGTTTGGAGGGGTTGAACGAATTGTAGTGCTTGAACCAGCAAAGCCTGAATTGAACGATAGTGCCCCAAATATTACCCACCCCTTTAAAATACCGCAATATAGTTGTTGATTCGGTCCTTTTGTTGCTGTGCGATGCACTCCGCAATCCAGACAATATTCCTGATCTCCTGCTCCTTCAACTTCAGCCAAGCCCAGATAAACCCATAATGGAACTGTAATTCCGTTAGCCTTCACACCCAATCGAGAAGAAATGTCCAGAACTACCTGTTGCAAGAACGTCAACTTGTTCAAATGAGCTTCCCGCTCAAAGAAGTAATCATCCAACGTCTTCTGATTCGCGCCAGTTCCTCCCAAGCCCTGCTCAAAGAAGCCCTTGTACTCGCTAACACCCTCACAAGCAAGCTTCACACCCTCCAAATCGTCAGCCCTAGCTAGCAGGAAGTCACCCTCCGGATACAGCCTCCCCAGACTAGGATAGAGCCTCTGCCTATCCTCCTTCGACAACTCCGTCCCAAAGGAGTTAAGCGTAATGGAAATACTCCTCCTATCCGCCTCAAACCCCAAAATCTCACTCATCGATTCCGCAGTAATCCCACCCAACCCATCACAAAATCTCGCAAAATCCTCCAGGTACGCCTTATACAGCGAATTACGAATGAGCTCAATATTCATCTCATCCAAATCCGCAGCCGAGAGACAATGCTTGAAATACGGCGCAAGCGGCGTCTCGACAAGCACACTGTTATACAACTCCTCAACCGTAGTCGCCACGCACAACGCTGGCATCGTATCGAACCATCCGAGGGGATGACACCTATCCAGCAACTCGTGCGTATCCCGCTCATGCAATGTGCCAGTGATGAGGAGGATGACGTTATCGATCATATACCCATACGTAATATAATCAAAGAACTTCGCCAGTGGCTCTACTGCTTGTCCCCTCAGATATCTAAACTCAGCAACGAGCTTCTCGGTTGCTTTGTCCGCGATGGTGGAGGTGCTGATTGGTGATGGCTCGTTCGCGAGGAAGTTTCCGTAGTCTGTTGCGGAGAGCTGGAGTTTGAGATCGTCTAGGGTTTCGCATTGAGATAGGTTTTGGTAGGTTTGGTTGGTAAGGAGGCCGGCGCGGTAGCCTCGGACAACGCCCTCAATGTAGCCGCTACACATTCGTTAACACGATAATCTTGGCAACAGAGACGAACAATGCCGTACTTGTCCACGTTAAAGAAGAGCATGTCGTTCATCCTTGGAATTGGGTGTTGGTCGTGGATGACGTTTCGGGGCTGTACGACAGCGCGCCATCGGCGACTCTGGCCTGCAGCTGGCAGCACGCCCGTGAGCGGTAAGGTTGGGTAAGAAGCATATTTGATGAAATGGATATATCGATATATCGTAAAGTAAGTTACGCACGCTAGGATGCGATGTAATCAATCCATCTACTCCTCATCATCGTCTTCCTCGTCGTCCTCTGCTTCAGAGACTTCCTCGCCAAGAGCCTTCAGTCTCTCCTTGTCCTTTGCCCTCTTATCTTCCAATTCTCCGAGTACGAGCAACAAGTCATCCATCTCACTCTGTACCTCTGCAGCCTTCTCTTCTGCGGCCTTGACCTTGTCTTTCAAGCCCTTGGCTTCCATAACCTGCTTCAGTGAGTCCGCGTACTTCTTCTTCAGTGTATCCAAGGCCTCGGATGAGGCCTGTGCTTCATCAAGCTTCTTCTGCAAGTCAGCTTTCTCGCCCTCAAGGCGCTTGACATTTGCCTTCGCAGACTCCAAAGCCTTCTTAGCCTCCTCGCCCTTCTTCTCCAGATCAGCCTTCTCCTTTGCCGCCTTATCAGAAGCCTTCTTCGACTCATCCAACTTCTTTTGAATCTCAACCGTCTCCTTCTTCGCCTTCTCGAGATCCGCGTCTTTGCTAGACACCGATGACTGAACCTTGTCAAGTTGTTCTTGGATGTCATCTTTCTCCTTCTGCAAACGCTTCACCTCCTTGTCATTGACCCCAGCCGAACTCTTGGAGTCATTGAGTTTCTTCCGAAGATCATTAATTTCCTCCTGGACCTTCTTCAACTCAGCATCCTTTGCCTTGAGCTCATCAACCTGTTTCTTCGCAGCCTCAAGAGCCTCATCTTTAGCCTTCAACTTCTTCGAAGTCATGTCATTGATATTGTCGAGATCCTCCAGACTCTGTTGAAGCTGCGATGCAGTCTGCCTGTTCTCCTTTAACGCCGCCTGCAGTTCATGTCTCAAGTCGTCCAACTGCTTCCGAAGCTTCTCACGCTCTTCAGTCCACTGTGCCTCCTTCTGCTCCAGTGCCTCGCCAGCTTTACCGGCCGTAGACTCCGCCTCCTGCTCAAGCTTCTTCTTTGCTGCTGCTACTTCATCCTGGGCTTTTGCTGCCTCAGCTTTGGCCGCCTCGAGCTGAGCGCGCAAGTCATGGTTATTCTTGGCAAGCTCGTCCTGCTTCGACTGATGCTCACCACGCAAATTCTCCCGCGCTCGCTCAACCTCCCTGTCCTTCTCCTGCAACTGAATCCTCAACGCCTCAAGCTGCTTTGAAAGGTCTCCGTTGACTTCACCACCCTTCACCACGGGCACCGGCTCAAACGCCGACGGATCCCGACGAACCGACCTTTGGATCCTGCTGTAATTATCTTTCAGAAACTCAACAAACGTTAAATCAAAGTAAACATTCGGCAAACCCTGCGCATCAGTCGACGAGAACGCGAAATCCACCGTGAGATCCCGGAACTCAGGCGACTGCCGTAACCGTGCGATCCTATTGACAAACTGATCCTTGCCTACCCGGTCCACCAACATCGAATGCAACCTCTCCCTCGGTATAGGAGAATCACCCTCATCGAACTCGTAGCACATACCCAACAAACACGTACACAGCCCCTGCACCATCACCTCCGTGGACCCACCACCACTACCGGCCACAGTCCCCAGGAGACTCGACACATTCCCACTCTCATGTAAGAAATCGATGACGGATGGTGTATCCTCCCACAGCCACGCACACAGCAGCATAGCATACGCGAGCGAAATCCGCGGATCAAGAGAATGTCGGATAGACGTGACGAGGTTCGCCGCGAGTGTCTGCACGGCCGTAACGACATCCTCATCACCACCAATCGTTACAGCATGCAACAATGACTTCGTCCTAGGGTTTTCGAAGAGGAGGTGCATCAAGAGCACACAGGCGAACCATACCTTATACGGATCCTTCCGTGCCCTGGACTGTTCTAGCCACAGAATGCAGTCTAGCAATCCCGGTTCGCCGTCCGTGTTCTGGTTCTTCTGTGATCGGAAGTAGATGTCGATGAGGTATTCGACGATATGGCCTTTTGCGATGTCGTTATCTTGGATGTAACCCTGGAAACAGAGAACGGCGGCGGCACGCAGCTCGAAGAATTCTGCAGACTCGGAGTACAGTGCAATCAACAGCAGCTCCATGACCGGACTGATGGTCTTGCCCATCCCGGGCGTCGAAGCCCTCGAGGTACCGGGAGCAAGCGGCGGAGGGGCACCCACGACTCTTGACCGCGCAAACAAGTCCTGATTCTGAGGGTTTGAACGGATCAAGTCGGCACAGGTGGTCAAAGCATGAGCACGGACGCCTATTGGCAATGCATCCGAGAATCCTATCTCGACGAGGCTGTCCAAGATACCCGAGGATGCCATAACCTTCTGATTTGCCTCGATACCTGGAGCGCCGCGCTCGACGAATGCTCTGGTCAGAGCAATTGATGCTGACAAGTTCGTTGCCTTTTGCTCATTCCATCGTGTCTCGGCCTTCCCGTCCGCCAGTAACTTTGCTAATCTCGGAACGCTTCCGAGCTCCCTGAACAGCGTCTGGTTCGAAGTATTGTGATGTAACAGGTTGTTGAGCAACTGTAGACAATCCTGGGTCACGATTCCCCCATCCAACCCACCCTCAATCTCAACGACCTCAAACAACCTCTCGAACGCATTTTCGAACGCAATGAGCTTCTGGATATCCGTATTCGCATCACTCAGCGCAATCAACAGCAACAACCCCTCATTCCGTACCGCTTCGCGCCCATCACCAAGTGTAGCAACCAACCTCGACAACGCCGTCGGATCCGCAAACATGAGCTCCTTCATCTTGTTTCCTCGTACACCCATTAAACTGGCCAGCAGTTGTAGTGCAAACAATCGAACATAGAAATCATTTTGGTCGAGGATCTCGATGATGGAGGAGATGTTTTGGGGTGCGGAGATGAAGGCGTCTGCCATCCATGTTTGGAGGTCGGGGGATTGTGGATCGTTTGAGTCGCGGTAGAAGAGGACGAGGAGGGTCTCGAGAGCGGCTTTGAGGGTGTCGAGGTCGCCGGCGTCACGGGTGAGTGTGACGAAGAGTCCTGCTAGACCTCCTGTTGCAACTTGCTGTGCCACCAGGTCAGAAACAGGGTATTGTCATTGTGGCACGACACGAACCTCCTTGAAATCCCTAGAGAACCCCTTCAGTCCCAGGACAGCAGCCCTCCGGTCCTCAAGCAAGGTTGAGTATTGCAAGCGATCACATAGCTTCGCGATGGCCTCGTCGGCGGATTGGTGCAGCGGTTGCGCGGACAGTACCGAGAGGCCTTTCGCCAGGAGATCCATCGCAATCGCAATTGGCAGTCGTTGTAGGGCTGGGTGTGTTGTACGGGTGGCACGTGTCTCCCTCCACCAGGAACGGCGCTCCCACGCTGCGCCTACAAAAACTTCTGCTTTGCGCTCCTCGACTTCGACCAACAGTCACCAACAATCAACGATCAAAACAACACAACGTGAGTATACTCTTACCGCTCGGCTCTGTCAACTCCGGTGAGTCCGGGAAGAAAACACGCGAGATGATCACGGCATTTGGCAAGAGGATACTTCTCCGTTGCTGAAAAAAAGTCAGCTACCTAATTTATGACATACCTGATGTGTTTTCTTTCGGACTCGAAAGTGTTCATGACATGAAGAGCAACTGTTCGTTTTCGGACCTCGAGGCTAACATGGTCTCTTCCAGATTTCTCTCTTTACCACTCCTTTCAATGTTATGTCTATCTACTATAGTTGAATACACCCCCCTTCCAAATAAATCCTTTGCAAGCGCATCTTATTCCTTTTCCCCTCTTCCGCTGTACTCCTCTCAAGAAAGCTGCGTGTTTCCGTGCGGCCTTTCTCCATACGGTACGCGTACGATCCATGTGTTTGTATACGGTGAGGTAAGAACCATATGGGTTGATGGCGGGAGCCGTCTTTTTGCGGTATGGGGGTGTCAACGCACACGGCTCACTCGGTCTGTCACCGCATGCTCGGAATTCTTAGAAGGCAGTGTGCTATGTATCGACCGTACTCCGCGGGATCTGAGATATCCATAACAAATGACGCGACAGTGAACTTTCGCCGAGGAACCTCGGGGCGGCTGAAGTGCCCGAGACGCAATCTTTCACGAAACTCTACGCCGAAATGAAACGCAATAAAAGGGACGGCTCGCATCCATGAACCTTAGAAAAGCTCAAAGTCGCGATACCCGACACCTACCATGCGATAAGTACACGAACGCATGGGTCTCTTGAATTAAAAAAAAGGACCGGGGGAACGATTGACCGTACGCGTTTGCTGTAGGAGCTGGTGCCTCGGGTGTCGAACGTGGACGTCGGTTTCCATGTGGAACGTGGCCGCTTGGATACACCTAACCATATGGGCGTTACACACACGAAAAAGTAAGGTTCTGCATATACAAAAGGACCATGATCCGCTCGTTCGTGAAGGTGCTCGCCAAAGCACTGGACATGGAGAAGACTACCACCGCAATTGCACCCTCTGTTATCGCTACCTCTAGGCCGGTCCGAGGGGCCTTCAGAAAGTCCGCCTGTCGGATTGTCTCGAAGTCGCTGGGACTCGCGTCTCCGGTACATATGATTCATGCCAATGACAGCATTCCCGTCCAATTGAAGTCGAACCCGTCCGGGCTCATTGTGTCTGATGATGAGTCTTTTGTGCGTCCGAAGCTCTACCAAACAGACTCCGGTTACTCCAGCTACGCCAATAGTGTCAGCAGTCAAACTCTCCCGTCGCCAAAGCCTCAGGATAAGCAGGCCAAGGTTGAGTCAATTACCTACATAAATCAAATCCGCAATCATTGCCCACATCTCCATGGACCAAAAGCAGTCTACCACCGCTCACCATCAATCATCCACCCCCTGCTCAACTGGACAGCCTCCGTCCGAAAACCCCTCGGAGCACCTCGAATCCACTATGAACGAATGTGGCTCCAGGTCACGGAACCCGCTGGATACGAATCTTTCACCGGCAGTCTCAGTCTTGATTTCACCCCGTCCATTGAGGTGCAGAAGACGTTCAGTGAGGAGCCGTTGATCATTTGTTTACCACACGTCGGTGGACACAGCAACTCTTACAACATTAGGGAGTTGATGGGAGCGTTGTGTGGGCCGAAGCAAAGTGGTGGACGTGGGTATAGGGGTGTGGTGCTGAACCACCGTGGACATGGTTCAACACCACTGACGTCGCCGCGGATTCCAAACTTGTACGATACGGAGGATCAACGCTCTGCTCTTCTCCATCTTCGTCGGATGTTTCCAGTTGCCAAGTTCGTCGTCATTGGCCTCTCGATGGGTGGTGCACTCCTCACGAAGCTGCTGAGCGAGCAAGGTCCCGACACGACGATACACGCCGCATTGGCGATGAGTCCAGTTCTTTCTGGCGAAAACTTCTTTATTGATTTGGAAAGAATCTCGAGCGCACCGCTCGTGGCCAGAATCGTGCCAAGGCTAGTTAGTGCATCGGTTTCCCTGGTCAAACCTTACTCGTATGTCTTCAATGGGGATGCACGGCTCGGCCTTGAGGATGTTGATGAGGGCATGGATTCGTTGGTGAAGATGGATGATTTCCATAACCGGTTTGCGAAGGTCTATGGTGGCTTCAGAGATCGGGATGAGTTCTACGAAGCTGCTTCTTGTCTTGATGATATCAAGAACATTGCGATCCCGATGATAGTCATGTGGGCAAGAGACGATATCAAGGGTTCCGTTTCTTGTGGTGAGCACCTCATGGCGGAGAATCCTAACATCATCCAGGCCGTCACCGAACATGGTGGCCACATCGGTTTCGTAAGCGGTGTGGGAAAGCGACAACGGAGGTGGTCCACCAAGCCTATCTGTGAATGGGTTGACGCAGTATTGGCTCTTCATCGGGAACCAGTACCAGCAGAGACGGTACACCGTGACGGCAGAGATATCGAAGTATGGGAAGTCACGCAAGAGCAGTTGGAGGCTTTGGTGGCGTTCCAGGTTCGCACGATGGCGAAACCGGGCACTCCCATGCCAAACATTGGATTGAAGAAGTAGCATCAAGTTATCAACGGACAAATATTTATCATACAGTATGGGTAGCTCAGATTCGCGAACTAGCTAAGACAGCTTGTTTCTCCTTCACCGTTGCTCGCATCCACTCTGAGATCTTTGTCTTGCTGAGGACCTTGTTCGCGTCTTGCTCTACAATTCCATGGGCTTCGATTGCAGGGTTATAGGCTACACCGCTGCTCTTGACAACTTGCTCGACTGCAACGACATGGTTCTTCTTACCGTCATACCTGCGGTACACCGTTACGACAACCGCACCGCCCAACCCTAGATTATGCTGCAAAGCAACGTCGAGGTTTGGCACAAGCCGATTACTCGCCCACCCTCTCAGCTGCCAAACCAACTCACAGCACTGCGCCAGTCCGGTCGCACCTAGCGGGTGGCCCTTGCTAATAAGCCCTCCGCTAGGGTTAACCACGACTTTCCCACCATACGTGATATCACCCTTCCGCACCACCTCATGCGCCTTTCCATGCTCGCAAAGCCCCAGAGCATCGATGGTAACCATCTCATTTGTACTGAAACAATCGTGAAGCTCAACGACCTTGACCTGCTCGGGCTTAATCTCCGCCTCCCCCATCGCCCGTTGAGCCGCGATCTTCGTCATCTCATACCCCACCAAATCCATCGCCGACCTCGAAAACATCGACGGCGCATCAGTCGCCATGGCCTGTCCTGCAATCAACACCGCTTTCCCCTTCATCTCCGGATGCTTCTCCAGCCAACTGTGAGAAACCAATACAGCCGCCGCAGCCCCATCACTTGTCGGCGAACACTGCAACTTTGTCAACGGCGCATGAATCACCGGCGCAGCCAGGATCTGCTCTTTAGTATACACGTTGCGAAACTGACTATACGGATTATTCCTCGAATGCAGATGACTAACCCTGGCAATCTCCACGAAATCCTCCGCAGTTGCTCCAAACTTGTCCATATACTCCCTTCCCGCATTCCCGAACAATTGTGCCGCATTGGGTGCACCTTCCACCACCCCCCTGTGCCG